AATAAGTAGTGGTCAAGTTTGCTGATGACACCAAACTGAACAGGATGCTGAGGAGCTCCAAAGGGGTCTTTCCAAGCTGGGGGAATGGACATCAAAATGGTAAATGTAGTTCAATATAAGCAAGTGCAAAGTAATGCATGTTGGGGTAAAAAAAACCCCCTAACTTCAAGTATAGGCTGATGGGATCTGAGCTAGCAGTGGCTAAGCAAGAAATTGATCTTGGAGTAGTAATGGGTGGCTCAATGAAAATGCTGGCCTAGTGCTCAACTGCTGTGAAAAAGGCAATTCCATGACAGGCATAATTTGAAACTGAATAGAAAACAGAATGACCAAGATCTTATTCCTCTTATGCAAATCTTTAGTACAGCCACAGTTAGAATATTTTCAACTGTGGTCACCTTACCTGGAAAAGGACATTATTGAGTCAGGAAAAAATACAGAGAAGTGCAATGAAAATTATCATTAGGCTGGATCAACTCCACTATGAGAAGCAGCTACAGCAACTGATACTGGTTGGCTTAGAAAAAATGGGTAAGAGGAGACATGATGCAAGAGTTTAATATAATGAATGGTGTGGAGAAAGTGGAGGTGGAGAGATTTTGCTCCCACTACCATAAGACTAGAACCCAGGGTCATCCTACGAAGCCATTGCTGGGAGGTTTTGGAAAGATAAAAGGAGTACTTCTTCATCACTGCTGAGGGAAGTGGTGATGGTCACCAGATTCAATGAGTTTAAAAGGCATTGGACAGATTCGTAGAGGAGGTGGGTATCACTGCCTACTACCTTTGTTGGTTATAATGCTACCACCTTAATCAAAGGTGGCATGACTGCATACACCAGTAACTGAGGAGCTTAAGCACTTATTCTGCTTGATAGCACTTGTGGGAAGCTGGTTTTCTACCATGTGTATGGAGTGCTGGACCTGATGGACCTTTGGCTGATCCACCATGGCTTTTCTTATGTACTAATGTTTCTATGTTCTTATCCCGCAACTTGGTGTCTCTCAGCAATAACAACCTGAAGTGCAATTGATTTTTAATACTTTTCCTTTTGATTATTTCCTAACATTATTTCCTAGTCAGCTCTATTCTGATGTCTATACCTTTCCAGGTCCAGACTTTCCTGCCTCAGGTACTCCAGACAGATCTCTTTGCTTCATATACCTAATGAGAAAGAGTTACCCTCTGGAAAAACACCTTACTGGTGTACTGCAGCACAACCCGCCAACTCTGCACAAACATGCTTGACTCTCAACCTGTCAAAAAAGCAGTGAGCAAACCAGCAGCAGATCTGCCACTCCTCCCCATCACCATCACTGTTGTTTGGGCCAGGCTGAAAGGTAGATGAACAAACAGAATGCGAAGAAGAAAAGGAACAACTCCAGGGAGCTCATCTCAGTGAGCCCCAATGGTTTGTTGGCCTTCAGTGGATGCCAAACCATGCCTACCCTTGATGCAGGATAGAAGCAAACAGACAAATTGCTATGTATTGTTAGTACCAACAACTACCAAACATGGTGCACACTGGGTGTATTGGACTATTCCTGTCAATCTGAAAAAGCATGGCCACTGGACAAAAATAACAGATGTTATAATCCAAAACATCTGGAGGACACCAGATTGGGAGGGCTGGCCTGTGCACACATTTGCACATATTCACACCATTGGACTTGCTTACCTATCCTCGCTGTCTCCACCCATCCTATTGGCACATAGCTGTAAGCTCTTGGTACAGCAGTGCTTATTTGCATATGTACACTGACGATGCAATCATTATATAAACTGGCCTGTAGATATTTTGACCTAGTAGCTGCTAGTTTATGAGGAGAAACTGCAGTTTAAAAATCCTTCCAAGTGCTACAATCAGTAGTTGCATCACTTCACATGAATATGCAATATGCACATGTGAGAGTGCTAACCCTGGATTCCTTATTGCTTATGCTAGACATATTCCCCTCCCTTTCACCCACCAACAACATACAGTCCAGAAGCGGTGAAAGGAGAACTGGTTTCTAAGCTTTTTGGCACTCATAGGTACAGTTGGGAATTTGAGAAACTGCTGTGTTATACCATCATCACAAAATGCATAATCAGTAGATTACCACTTGGCATTTTCCTATCATGTCTGTGGATCTTAGGCTGTGTCTTTTTCACTAAAAACAGTGTGTGTGTGTACTGGACAATGCAACATCTCTTTGATATTCACCTAATTGTTAGTAATGCAATACAGCTAACACTTCTTTTAAATATGTGTTCTGGCATTGTCCAGTAGTTGTTTCTTTCTGGGAGAAGATAATTTAAAGGGAAATTTTTGTACTGAAACAGTCTTTAATATTCACTGATGTACATGCTCTTTTAAATTATTACATTTCTTCATAGAAATTAACAAACAGAAAATGAAATGGATTATCTACCCATTTGAGCATTAAGTGAGATTTTACAAAACTGGAAGCACAAATATTCACCTCTTGTAATGCAACTAATTGAGGACCTTATAATGCTTTTGATTTTTGAACTGGTGGCATATAGATGTCAACTTCAAATGGATACATATTTGTATATTTGGTCCACTTTGGTGAAATCTATGTATAATTGCTAGAAAGTTGTATTTTAATACATATCCACATACATTTTTTTAAAAAAGAAAAAAATCAGGTTCATGTGGGTACCATGTTTATTTATTTATCTATTTAGATAATTTCTATGCTGCCCCATTCGCCAAAGCCTCGGGGCGGCTCACAAAACATCAATTAAAATATAATACATTAAAAATATAAAACGAATTAACAATATAAAATTGGGAACCCCTGCAGCAGAGAGATAAGACATTGGGGATGGTTTTGGGCCTTTCTCTCCTGCCTTTTAAAGGGCTTTCAACAAAACTACTAGAAGGTAATTAAAGTGCTACGCTTTGCTAGTTGCTACTACAAACTTGTAATATCCTCACATCACCAGAGCTAATATCTCTTTACATGAAAAGATATCCCTTGAAAAGATACAAAGAATGCTCTTCAGCCTCTAGCCCTTGCTAGTTTAATTCAGAAGTCTTGAAAGGGGCAACCAGGATTCTTTTTAGAAAAGAAAACATGGAAAGAAAGCCCTCCTACAATCATTACAGACAAAGCCACACAAATGTGATCCATTCCCCTTCCCAACTTTAATGAATGTATCACACTTGCACCCCCCTTTCATGCACAGAAAGAAAAACTTGAAATCCAAGAATGATACTGTAAAATCTTCTATGTGTTCTGTAAGAAACCCAGAAAAAAAGCTTCCACATTGGTGGAATTTAAACTAATGCTCTACTTAAATTAGTTCCTTACCCCAGCAATTACCAGCTCAAAACAAGTCAAATTTTAGAACTGAACTGTGCCAACTATCCCACTTCTTGGAAACCCTGCAAATTAGTAAGACTCTTCATACAATATATTTACAAAGTCATGTAAAATGAATGATGCAAAATTCTTACATGACAGTTGAAAAGCAATTTCCATACACACTAATACACAACAATCCTACATGCACAGGGTGCCTACACAGCTCCAGCAGGATGTATTTGACTTGACTTCCTTTCATAAGTGCCATGTAGCAATTTTTGCATGTGTTCCAATTGTCACAATGTTACAACGCACATAGGAAACATGCAATTTCCTACTTCATTTCTGTGTAAGTAGTTATAAAAATATGCAATGACCCTCAGAAGCTCAATATCAAAGAGTACCACACACCTACAATTAAAAACTAATTTCAAACCTTTGAGGCAATTGCATGTGCTACAAAAATAAAGAAAAGCAATGTTTACTCTTGCAGATTATCTAAATAATATTTACATAATATATATTATATTATATAGTATAATAATTATAATAGCTTACAGACTATTGCACAGTATAAAATGTAATAAATAATGAAAACACTTTCAATTAGAAAGTATATTTTAGAGCAAATAACTAATATTTTAGATATAATGCATATATCACAATTCTAAATGCTTAGGCTTATTCTCAAAGTATTTTAATATTTAAAAACTCAGTCCCACGGGTACTAAAATATCTTACTGTCACAAGACAAGTACATAATTTCTCCCTAATGTCTATTCCATATTTTCCTTCTTACAACTATTCATTCTTAAGCTCATATTCTTATGATGTTTACTGGAATTTACAGCAAGAATTACAGAGTTAGGCCTACACCTAAAGGTTTACTGGACATTTGATTTGTTATACCATATCCTTTCATGTAACAAACCCAGAAAAAGGGATGAGGAGATGCAGAGGAATTCAAACTTGGTAAACAGTTGCATGAGGTTATTGGAGCTTAACTGATCATGTGAACACTTCCTAATTCCAGAAGCAAACTTAACACAGTGCTGTAGTTTTAAAAGGAAAAGGATTTGATTGTTGTTATTTTTTACACCAATTCAAACAGAACAAGCAGTTACAGAACAGAGAGGACCAAGCAGGAAATAAGAAGCACTAGACTTTTGGAACTGAAAGGAAAAATACAAGGCCTAGTTTCTGAACAACTTTCTGTTGCAGACTTTATGCCATACAAAAACTGTGCCCCTACATGTACACCCATCCCACGTGAGACACAAAATCGTATTTTCTCCCTAATACTATCCCTCCCCCCCCCACACACACACAGACACACTATTGAGAGAATTTTTAGTTCCTTAGGACAAGGCAGACTAGCTAATCCCGAAGACCAGGCAATCATGAAAGGCGCAAGAGCCTCAAGTGACCTGCCAGACAAATTGTTTAAATGGGAAGATGTCAATACTTCTGAATAACTTAACAGTCTTCGTGGCAAGCCTGAATATCGAGTGCACGGCAGAACAACTGGCTAGGACGAGGAGATCCGGGAGCGGGCGCAAGGAAGGCGCAGCAGCCACAGGAGGAGAGGGTCGGGAGATCGACCTGAAGGAGCCCTCCTAAAGCGGCAGCCACGGCACCTGTAGCCTGAGGCTGAGCGCGGCAGCTCCTCTCCAGACGCCTTACCTTTGAGCTGGGGCAGCGGGAAGAGCTCCACTTGGCTGCCCTGCGTCCGGAACTGCGAGGAGCCCTGCGATCGCTTCTGTTTCTGCGCCTTGCGCACCGACCTCCGCGTGAAGCCATCCACTTTTTCCGCGGGGGAGATAGCAGTCGACATGGCTGGGCGAGGGCCAGACGGCGGGGGGTTCCTCGTCGTCTCTCTCTTGAAGCATATAACCACCCCAGGGAAGAAAAGTAGAGCTGGCGACGGGGGGCGCTCCCAGCGGAACGCCCCCAGTAAAAGAGAGGAAGACTCACTTAATCCAAGTGCCCCAAAGAAGGGGGTTCCAAATTTGGAGCGGCAGGGAGACACAGAAACTAGACCCTAAAAACCCCGAGTAGGAGTTTGAGTGTGCAAGCGCGGAATTTTTTAATCCAAACGCCTTCAGGAATCGGGTCTTCCGAATAAAGGGGGCTTGTAATCCAACACTCCAAGGAAAGAAGGGCTTCCAAATAAGGGGGCACTTAATCCGACATCCCCAAGAAAAGGGGGAAACAGATTTACAAGGTAAAGGCAAGGGTTATTCTTAATCCAATATCCTCCAGGAAAAGCAATGGAAGAAAGCCAAAATACCCAACAGGCGATGAATGGGTGAGTATGGGAGAAGAAACGCAGCCAAAAGGTTTCCCCGCTGCGCCTTCCCGCGTCCACGTTCCCCGTTCAGCAGAGCAGCCAAAAATAATAGCAGTAACAGCAATAATTTAAAAACGGGAAAACTTTACTCCTCCAAGACCTGCAGCAGCGTCTTTTCGCGAGCAGCAAACTTTGGCGGCAACGTGCGGAGACTCTTGAGCGCGCTGTTCCTCCCTCAGCCGGGCTCGCGGTCGCCTGGCCCGCCCCGCCAGGAGCTCGGGGTCATGAGCCGCAGCTTACGGGAGAGGGAGAAGGACGGAGCAGAGGGGGCTGAGAGAGAGAGGCGGGAGGCCGGCCTGCGCTGCCTCTCCTCAGCCACCGTCGGGAGCTCCCCGCACTTCTTCCGCCAACATCTCGTCACGCTGGCGCCCCCTCCTCCTTGGTGGGAGACCGACGCCGCTTCCTCCTTCGCGGTGCTCCGTCCGCGCGACGTAATAGCGAAGAGGGAGGAGGAGCAGCAGCAGGGAGCGAATGTTCCACTCCAGAACCGGCGCGCGCCTCTGTGGGAACGACCGAGCCCCAAGGACGGCAGAGTTCCGACTCAAGAGGGGGCGGGGCCAGAAGTGAGGAAAAGTGTGTGTGAGGGGGGAACCAACCCGGGAAAGCGGTTGGAACGACCGTTGGAGGAGCCCCGCTGAAGGGTAACTGACAGGCGCAAAGTAACCAATCGGGTGACAGAGAAGCTCCCCGAATTATCTTAGAGGGTGGGATAACAGAAGCCAGCGCGACCTGGGGGTGGTGAGAAAAGGAGGAGGGGGAGACGGAGCTAGTGACACCCGAGTTGCCCAACGCGAGAGGGTCAAGGGCGGAGCGTCGGCGAAAGGTGATTGGGTCTGGCCTAGCAGGGGGTGGGATGAGCGGGAAGTCAGTTCGGAGTTGGGGAAGCGCTTGGGAGCCAGATTCACAGGCGGGCGGAGGGCTGGCTGTTCCGGAGGGAAGTCGCCTGTTCAGGTTGACACTTTCTGGAAGCCGAAACTGAAGGTGAATTGGGGGGAATCCCAAGCTGTGTACGTTGTGATTGATTGCATCGTCCGAGGGGTTTGTTGGAAATTGTCTTAATAGCGTTTTTACCTCGTTGGCCTCAAGAGATTGTTGTACCACTGCTATGCTCGTTCTCTAGAGTCTACTTTCAGGTAAGCGTGGACGGGACTCAGCTGGCATCTTTTAACAGGCTGCACGTTTACCTGGAAGTAAACTCCACTAAGGGGGTGGGTGTGGTGGCTATAATCAATTTATCGCATTAATATAGTTCCAACTGACAGATGCCCCTGGGGTGGTTTATAGTGAGAGAAAACAAGGAAATAACTAAAACAATAAAATCTAATCACTTAATATGAGCACAGGATTGTCGCTGCATAAGCTGTGAGCTTCAGCTCAGCTAATTGACTGACTCTTGCTAAAGATCTACAGAAGATGGACATTTTATAAAGATGCATTCCTATGCCTGTTTAGGCAGACAGAAAGATCTTTTTCTTTTTTAACATGCATAGGATTGTGCCCTAAAGCAAGCAGTGTTGTTCAGCATTCCATATACCGCTGCTATTAAGCATTTTCCTTTATTTTAAAACTCACTTCTGCAGACTTCAAACTCCTCCCAAACATGCTTATAGTCCCTCTTGTTACGGTGGCTCTATTTTGGCTACGTAGTTCAACTAAGTATGCTGTTGGAGGGGGTGGGTTATAAACCAAGAGTTATTTGGTTGCAAGGGGCCCTTGCAGTATCAAAATGCTTTGTCAGGTTATATCATCTAATGGATTTTCTTGAAAGTTTTTTTTTTCTGATATTTTCTGGCTGGGAAATGCTGGGAGTTGTAAGACTTTTTCTGTCTAAATATGCATAGGATTGCACACTTAATTTAAAAAACAGTCTGCAGTTTCTTTACTAGGAATAATCAATGTCTTTAAAGGCAGTTACACTTTGTTGTTGTTGTTGTTAGTCACGAAGTCATGTCTGACCCATCACAACCCCATGGACAACACTCCTCCAGACCTTTCTGTCCTCCACTATCCCCCAGAGCTCACACCTACTGACTTCAATCACTCTATCTAGCCACCTCATCCTCTGCCATCCCCTTCTTTTTTTGCCATCTATTGTTCCCAGCATTAGACTCTTCTCCAGTGAGTCCTTCCTCCTCATTAGGTGGCCAAAGTATTTGAGTTTCATCTTCAGTATCTGGCCTTCTAAAGAGCAGTCAGTGTTGATCTCCTCTAGAACTGACCAGTTTGATCGCCTTGCAGTCCAAGAGACTCGCAGGAGTTTCCTCCAGCACCACAATTCAAAGGCCTCAATTCTTCGGTGCTCAACCTTCCTTATGGTCCAACTTTCACAGCTTTACATTGCAACTGGGAAAACCATAGCCTTGACTATAGGCACTTTTGTGGGCAGCGTGATGTCTCTGCTTTTTAGTATGCTGTCTAGATTTGCCACAGCTTTCCTCCCAAGGAGCAAGCATCTTTTAATTTCTTGGCTGCAGTCCCCATCTTGGAGCCCAGGAAAATAAAATCTGTCACTACCTCCATTTCTTCCCCATCTATTTGCCAGGAAGTGATAGGACTGGATGCCATGATTTTAGTTTTCTTAATGTTGAGTTTCAAGCCAACTTTTGCACTCTTCTCCTTCACCCGCATCAAGAGGCTCTTTAGTTCCTCTTCACTTTCTGCCATTAGACAGTTACACTTAGGATGCTTTTAATGTTTGGGAAGGATTTTACTACCTGAGACAATGTATATGTGATAGAATGCATCAAACATATGAGTGTCTCTTAATAGTGAAAAAGTTACCATGTCATACTCAAGTAAAGTGTGTGAAACTTCACCACTTCAGTGAGATCATGTTACACACAGCCTGCTGCATATAGCTGCTCAAAAGGCTGTGTGACAATACCATCATGAGTCTATACTAGTATGTGCGGCATATCATCTATTAGCCCATTTCTGGAAGAAGGTGTGCAGAAACATGTATAGTTGCAGTACAGATCTGTACTAAAACTTTCAAGCAGCCAAGCAAACTATGACTACAACTCCCATCAGTCCTGACCATCTATGTAGGCTGGGTCTGATGGGAGTTTGAAGTCAGCAACATCTAGGGGGCACAGGTTTCCCAGATGACCCATAAGAGATCAGGGAAAGATTCTTTTGATATTCAATATACTACCAAATTTGTACCAGGAAATTAATGCGTACTGTGAAGTGCTTCCCTCCAAGAAGTTGGGAATTAATTTATGGAGTAGATAATCTGAACTATTGCCATGTATACACTATCATTTTTATTTCCCCTTGGAAGGAAAATTAGTTCCAGCACCTTTAATAGTATCAAGGTTTTACCACTATGTTACTAAGACAAAAAGAACTACATACTGGAAATCTCCCTTCTTTTCACTTATTAAAGGTAGGGGATGTTTAGCCTTTATTTAATCTTCATCCTACATTGTGGAATAACTGGCATCCCCCAGCTCACATTTTGTACTGTAATTTACTCATAAGTAGTCATAGAAACTTGTCCTTCTAGGCCCCTAAATGTCTACCTCCTGCATTTTACTTTTCTACTGTAAACTAAAAAATGTCCACAGCACAAAAGTACCCCAGAATCTCTGTAGGAATAGTTCTGTGGGGTACTTTTATACCCCCTCAAAATAGTCCTCAAAAAAGGAAGAAAGGAAAGTTCAATACAGATCATCTTGGTCTCTTTTTAAAGCTAAAATTATTAGCAAAAGCCTCCAGTGAATAGAATTAAAATCTATTGAGGGAAAGCTTTGCTATGGTTTTTTAATTGTGCTCAGTTGCACAATTAGTGGAGCATTATCTGAAACAGTGCATTACCCAGCTATCTTAAGGACTGTCTACACCCATATATACCTTCTTGTCCCCTAAGATCAGCACAGGAAGCCCTTCTGCAAGAGCCACCCCTCAGGAAGGTGAGAGGGGTGACAAATAGGCAAAGGGCCTTTTCTTTTAGAGAAATTTGACTGGCACCATCTTTATTTTCTTTTTGGTGCTGGGAGAAGACATACCTTTTAAAAAATTAACAATTAGCTCTTGTGAATGCTGGTAGCCTTTTAAATATTTTTTTATTGTTTGTTGCATTGATGTTTTATTTTTCTAACTATTTTAATAGGGTGTAATATGCTGTTATTTGTAAGTCACCTAGGAATGCCTTTGGCAGTTATAGGCAACATATAAATATTTGAATAAATAATACAATTAGTTGCACAAATGAAATACTGTACATAGTTCCTTGCACAGTGGAAAGATTCAGTGGAACTCTGCTAGCAGTATTTGACTTTGTGGAATGACACCATTGGATACTGGTCCTTGAGTAATAAATAGATGTTAGAAAGATGGCATATAAGTTTTCATAAATATTGACAATACCTCCAGTATTAGAAGCAATAGACCTGTTGCATTCATGTCCTGCATGCAGGTTTCCAACAGGCAACTGGTTGCTGTCAAGGTAACAATGAACAGTATGAACCCCTGGTGTAATCCAGTGATACTCTTATGTTCTTAATGTGTTGTCTCTAAGAGGTCCTTTGCTGAAGGTTGGGGCACAAGGATATTTCACCTTAAACTTTTCCCAAAACACTTACATACACCTTCTACATCTTAGGTGAGAGTCAGGGCTTCCCATTCTTCACAGTGATATTTCATTAGACCTCAGGATCCTGGATTCAGAACCTTATCTCAGCTGTAAAGATTCTGAATAGCATTGGGCATGTCATCTTCACTCAGCCTCCAGCCTTGTTCTCTGTATATAATGCCCTCCATTGCAAAGTAGAGAACACTTATCATAAAAACAGCACTATAATGGGTAATATAATCCTATTCTCATAATCAAGCCCCTATGGGGTGAAAATGCTCCGTAAGGAACAGGACCTTTGTCTGCTTGGCATAGCATACATAACATTATGTGCATTATAAGATGGACGTTCAAAATCCTTTGCAGTGAGTATAAGCAGAAATACGGAAGAGACAGGTGGCTGTCGGACAGATTTTGTGTGTGAACTCTAGTCAAGCTGATTGCTAGCAAAGGGAAAGGACAGAGCTAGCACCATCAAGATCGCACTTCCTGTCACATTGTCCCTAGCCAGTATAGTGGCAGTGCTGGCTGGGAATTATGGAAGTTGTAATCCAAGGCATCTTGAAGGTGTCGGGTTGAGGAAAGCTAGTCTATTATATGCTTAGAAAAAGTAGTAAATACGGAAAATATCTTGACAATATTTAGGAATCTTTCTTTCCGGTGTCGTTGTTGGATTGTGGAGGTAGGTGAGAGAGCTAAAATGTATCAATTTCTGCCTTAGAACAAAAGTCTTTCCATTGATACATAGAGAGATGGTGCATCTGTGAAGATTTTTAGGATGATAGACCCCCAATAGCAGGTAAACTGTTCTCTTGTAACAGCACTACCACTTTATTGGTTGATCCTATGCTATACTACACTGCTGATGCATGGAATCAAGTTGAATGCAGTATTTTCACATTGGTATTAAGCCTTGGACACATAACTTCATGTACTGCACT